TATATATAAAATTAATAAATACACTATTTTTGTATTAGGGTGAAATTCATGTAACATAAAATGAACACTTTTCAAAATTTGTTTGTATTAAGACAGGGTCTCATGTAGCCTAAGTTGGCCTGGATCTCACCGTATAGTTAAAGAGGACCTTGCTCCTCCTGCCTCCACCTCCAAAGTGTTGAGATTACAGGTGTGTGACTCCTGGTTTATGCAGCACTGGAGACAGAATCCGGGCTTTCATGCATGCTGGGTTGGTACTTTATTGACTTAGCTCCAACTGTAGCCCCAACCAACCATTTAAAAATGAACAAGCCAGTGTTGCTCAGTATTCCAGAGTGTTATGTAACCAGCAACCACCTCTATCTCCCAAACGCTTTCATCATCCAAGAGGAAGCCCCAGACCCATGAAGCAGCTGGCTGGTGTTTAAACATCAGGGCCTGAGTCACTTAGGGGTGCTCTGCAGGGTCCGATTCTTTGTAGCTCGTGTCTGTGACATGCTGGAGTATGGCAAAAGCCAATATTAATCTCAGTCTATAGATGAGGAAACTAAATGTGGAGTTATATAACTGTCCCAGGATTGCTTAGCTGCTGAGTAACTGAGCCATGATCCTGCACAGTGTGGCCCTGGGGCCTTCCTTGTTCTGGAAGTGTGAGCCATGTAGCAGGGGGGAAAACAACTTCTAGAGAGTGAGGTGACAAGCGTGGGCCAGGATTGCAGGGCTGGTCCCTCCTATTGAAAACCCAAGCTGTTGGCCAGCTGCTGTTGACTGCTGGCTTGTTTGCCTCATGATAAGCAGCATGTCACAGGCCTCTTTCCACATCTGTTTTCCAGTCTCCACAGAGCTTCAGACCCTACCTTGAGAGGCTGTGGGAGGCTTGATTGGCAGTTCTAAACCTTGGAGCACTATATGAACAGTCAGGTTCTCTAGCAATTTGATGGGAGCTGAATGGGTCCCTGAGAGAGCTGGCATTCCATTGGGTGGCCAGTGGGAGCCCCGCCCTCCTGTTTTGTGTGTAGAGTTACAGAACTTCCTGTACTTGGACTCATCCACAGTCTACTACATTATCCATGGAATTCAAGAAATAACACCTGAAGTATTCATTGAAGACTTGGTGGCTTAGAACACACATGTGCTGGGTGGCCTAGGGCATGTGTGCTGGGGACAAAGGCTTCCACAGAACTGTTCTGTTGTCATTTAGGAAGTCCACCATCCCAGGGAAGGAGAAAAACATCCGGACATGAAAGTTTTGCTCTCAGAGGGGGCTGAGCTCCCATTATCCATCAGGGTCAGAGAGCTAGCAGTTGTTAGCAAGGAAGTTGGTCTTACAGCATCGTCCCTGATTGCATGTGACGTCGATGATGAATTGTCATACATTGCTCTGACTCTCACCTCTGTGAGCACTGGGGTTTTTGGAATAGGTGTGAATATTCCCTGTATCCTGAAGCCACTTTGAATACACCAAAAAAAATGAATGTGGAGTGGGGCCTTCTCCCAGTTCATCTGCTCTTCTCTCTGCACGAAGTCCTTTACTTTCACCTTGTTTAAATGCCAACACTTCTCTTTCCAAATGATTTCTAAAGGGAAACATAAAAAGAATGTTCCAGAATGCTCTGTGGGCCATGGATGATTTACCAGGGCAGTTTCCTGGATTACGGCCTTGTCCACCATCAGCAAATCCTGTGAAACAGACTCCTGTCAGCTGTAAACTCCTGAATGTGGGAAAAGAGCTGACACACAGGCCAGTTCCCCTAAGGCTGACGTTTCTCATGAATAGTGCATTCCTGAGTGTGGGCAGTCAACCAAGACCAGGAATCCTCATTAGCTGGTGGTGACCAGCAGGCGTGACTGGGGCTGGGAGCACAGGTCATCCTGTGGCAGGGGCAGCCCTCAGCTGACCGGGGCTGAAGGAGCCAGGGCTGCCTCTAAAATTCCAACCTGCTGTGCCTGGTTACTGATTCTGCTCCCTAGTCCCAAGGGACCCCCTAGCCTACCTCGGACCAGTAATGGCAAACTGACTGCAGCTGGAACATTCCAGAACAAGGCACAGCTGAGGTCCAACCCATTCTGCATGGATCTGTGCACACTGAAGTGTGAACCACTTGCTCTGGCCCCAAGACCATCCCATCCTACAGAAATTAGGCCATTTGTGGCTCTCAGCTCCACTTCTTCCTGCTTCCTGAGACCTTGACCTCTGGCCCCACCTCAGTAGAGCTGAACAACATATAGGAAAGAAGTTAAACCATCATTTCCCACTCTGAGGCCCGGCCCACCCCTTCTCATCCAGTTTTCCCAGATGGTCTGCACTGGCTATTTTCTTCTTTCTCTCTCTCATCTCCGTAGCTTTTCGTAGTTTTCCCAAACAGAATGAGTCATTTCCTTTGTTGGGTTCTCATAATAGTCAAAGCCACTGTATAGCTACACATCCATTTTATTTTTATGAATGCTGATTGTTTTTCTTTTATGGATAGATAAGAGCTTGAGGACATTACTTTTCCTCTTTTTGCTTTGACTTCTGGGATGCTCAGATCTCTCTTTATAGTTCCTTTTTGATCAAGTGATTGCTGGGAGCTTTTTGAATTAACTTTAACCCTGATTTTATCTTCAGCTGAGCCTTTATTCTATTTCTTCATTTATATAGTATTATTTATATTATATATCTACTCGACCCATCTCAATTTTTTGCATTATCAATTTTTATTTCATTAAAAACAATTACATTTATTTATTTATTTATTTATTTGTGTGTGTGTGTGTGTGTGTGTGTGTGTGTTGCACACACACCACAACTCAATAGTGGTAATCCGAAGATTACTTGAAGTCAGTTCTCTCCTTCCACTCTATGGATCCTGGGGATAGAACTCCGAACATCAGGCTTGGCAGTGAGTGTCTTTACCAACTGGCACGAAATACAAGTGTGTGCCAAACACTGTGTGGTACCCCATAAATTTACAAAAAAAGAGAAGTGTATGGTTGGTGTGACCTTAGCCACTCCCCAGGGTGAGGAAGACAGAGTTGGACCCTGAGTCACAGAATTATGAGCCTCAGCCCCCGCCTTGCCACTCCTTGCCATGTGATCTTGAACAAGCTATTGAACTCTCTGAACCTCGGCTCCCCACCTCTGTAAAACAAGGCTAATTCTTCCTAAATGATTATGATGTCAGTGAACATGTGTTGCCAAGGACATGACAGAAACCAGTCAGAACCTGGATGATGAGATTGAACTTTCTCTTCAAATCTTATTTTTCAGCTCCTCTTTTCTGCCCCCACCCCTGAGTAGGGGCAATAAGGCCCCCTATACTCAGGGGAGAACAAGATGTCTACAGTCTAGCCTGCATTTCATCTTCTTTCAAGTCTCATCGGCCAAATGCAGTGATTCTCCTCTCTCAATGGAACTTTGGGCAGAATGCAGTTTGCCACACTGATTCTCACTTGTCCCTTCCCTCCCACATGTGATGGTTTATGTTGTCAATTTGACAGGATCTAGGATCACTTGGAGACAAATCTCTAGGCTTGTGTTCGAGATGTTATCTAGAGTAGGTTAACTGAAGTGGAGAAACCCACCTTGAATATGGGTGGCACTGGGTCAGGCCTGGTGGTGCACACCTTTAATTTCAGCACTTGGGAGGCAGAGGCAGGTGGATCTGTGTGAGATCAAGGGCAGCTTGGTCTACATAGCAAGTACCAGGCCAGCTGGGGCAACAGGGAGAACCTGTCCAAACAAGCAGGCAAACAAGCAAGCAAGCAAACAGAGCAGCCCCATTCCATAGGCTGAGGTCTTGGACTTCATAGAAGGAGAAAGCAAGCTGTGATGGTTAGTCTCATTTGACACCTTGATGAGATCTGTAATCACCTGGGTATGCCTGAGGACGACTGTCTTGATTAGGTTAGTTGAGGTGGGAAGACCTGCCTACTATGGATAGCACCATTCCCTGACTGGGATCCCGGACTGTACAAAAAAAGCAAGGTGAACAGCCAAGCATTCATCGATTTCTGTTCCTGACCATGGACGGGATGTGGCCAGCCAACTTAGGCTCCTGCTGCTATGACTTCCCTGTTATGATGGACTGCACCCTTGAATCGTGAGCCTAAATAAGCCCTTT